AAGACGTCTCAGAAGTGTTACTTAATGAAAGTCTTCATGGAAGGAGGAAAAACTGGTTGTTCATATTCTTTGCACAATCACAATCACTAAATGGCAACGCTTTATGTTTTAAGATTCTTAGATAATTGTGATATATTCAAGAAAGTAAGATACTGTTTTCCAAATCCAACTCCTCTCAAAAATTAGAGAGGGCACCCTTCTTGCAGATGGCCACGGTGCTTTGGTTTTTGTTTTTTCAGCGAATGATGACTCTGGAACATTCGCTCATACTTGGAAGAGAAGAGAGTTTACAACTCAGTTTAGGATACTCTTCGAGTCTGATGTGAAAATTTCTCAAATATTTCTACCAAAATAGTTCAACAGGGCTCAGAGCCTAATAATAAGCTGAGAGATTTTATCAGCGCTACGTGACTGAAGGTACTCTGAATGCTTGGGGAGCACCCAAATGTTTTTAACAAGTTGGTTACTATGTAACTACAAAACAGGAGCCTCCTACGCAATTCTAGAATTACTTCAGGCTCTCCAGGGAATTTTTTTTCCAGTTGATAGCTAAAAATCATCTGACATGGTTACCTGTAGTATCAATACTATTTTAAGCAAAAAGATATGAAAAGTAAATAAGAATGGATGGAAACTAATCTTTTTTAGTCTGTGACCTTAAGCAAGGCCAGTCACCCCTTGCGGTTAAATAATGGCAAGTTATTAAATATTCACCAACTTCACAAATAAATGCTTTTTGTGAAGGTCACACTTGCCCATAGAGCAGGAAGAACACAAGCTATAGAGCTGCCCTGTCTGGTAGGGTGGCCACCAGCCACATGTGGCTATTAAGCAGTAGAAATGTGGCTAGTCCAATCGGTGCTGTGTCAGTGCAAGACCTCAAAAACTTAGTAGGAAAGAAAGACTACAAAATATCTCATTAATTTTATATTGTAGAGATGTTGAAATAATATTTTAGCTATCTAGGATAAACTAAAATATATTACTAAAATGAATTTCACTTGCCTCTGTTTTTTTTTTAATGTGGCTACTAGTACATGTAAAATGACATTTGCAGAAGGACAAATATCATATGATAACGCTTATATGTGGAATCTCAAAAACAATGGTACAAATAAATGTATTTACAAAACAGAAACGGAGTCACAGATGTAGAAAACAAACTTATGGTTACCAGGCGGGGAAAGAGGGGGAAGGATAAATTGGGAGATTGGGATTGACATATACACATTACTATATATAAAATAGATAACTAATAAGGACTTACTATATAGCACAGGGACCTCTATTCAATACTCTGTAATGACCTATTTGGGAAAAGAATCTAAAAAAGAATGGGGGTATATATATGTGTATGTATAACTGATTCACTATGCTGTACAGCAGAAAGTATACAACATTGTGAATCAACTATACTCCAAGAGGGAGGAGATTTGCGGATGTATGTACATGTATAGCTGATTCACTTTGTTCTACAGCAGAAACTAACACACCATTGTAAAGCAATTATACTCCAATAAAGATGTTAAAAAAATACATCCAAAGAAAATTTTTTTAAAGGCACAAACAAAAAACAGAAACAAAAAATTAAAATGACATTTGCTGTCGGCATCATGTGCTGGGTGGGGGACAGAGCCGGGTGAGGGTGTTTCTGCTTGGGTTGTAAATCAGCTACGCCAGGGTGACTGACCCTCTGGGCATCGCTCACTGTCTCTCTGCCTTGGGTTTCTTCTTTTGTAAGATGTTGAGAGCTTGGACTAGACGTCTTTTTTTTTTTTTAAAGATTGGTTTTTTTTTGATGCAGAACATTTTTTTTTTTTTTTCTTTACTGAATTTGTTACAATAGTGCTTCTGTTTTATGTTTTGTTTTTTTGGCCCCAAGCCATGTGGGATCTTAGCTCCCCGACCAGAGATCGAACCTGCACCCCCTGCATTGGAAGGCGAAGTCTTAACCACTGGACCGCCAGGGATGTCCCGGACTAGACGTCTTTTAAAACCACTGTGGCTTTAACATTCTAGGATTCAAGTGTGCAAGACTTATTGCTGGTGGAGAAAAGACAGAGGACAGGCTGATGGCAGTGTTGGAACCAGGAGGCAAAGCAGCTTCCCTAGAGCTGAGCTCCGGATGGGGGCCTAAGAAAAGCCCAGGGCATCCCTTACAGCCACCCAGCAGCTCATGTGCCCCGAGCCTAGAGACAGTGCTCTTCTACCTCTGCCGCCTGCCACCAGCAGCTGACAGGAGAATTTGAGGAAAGCCCTGCCCCGTGTGGGGCTGGCTGCAGGGCTCAGCACGTGCACCACCTATTAGCAGATGAGCTGCTCTGTAGCAGCGCAGCCCATGGGTGGCACGCTGTCAGCTTAAGCCCAGGGTGCAGTGGGACAGAAACACATTACGGCTGCCAAAGGCTGACTTCACCGATGTGCCGCACATCCACTCCGCAGGAGCCCGACAAGTGGAAAAACACCAACGCTGTACTCATACAGTGTTTGCAAGACCTAATCCAAATTCTAGCAAACCCGGATTTGGGGCTTTTTCACACTCCTGAAAGAAGCATTTTTTTAAAAAGCAAATAAATATCAGTTTCTTCCGAAGTGTTATTTGCTATATCTTTTGTTTTCCAGAGTCAGTTAAAATGGAACCTTCTGAGTTAACTTGGATTGAAAGACAGAGTCGCCACTCACTGGCACAGCCCTTGGGAGTCCTCGCAATCGGTCCCAAGCCACCTTCTTGGTCCACTGTCCACGATTTGACAGCAGCCTTCAGCAAACATTTTTGGGGGCATCTATCTTGTGCCAAGCACTGGGATAAAACAGCAAGTAACACCCAGTTCCGGTCCTGAATCAGCTTTCAAGGTGTAGCGGGTGTTGGCCTGGAGAACGCCAAGTGAGAAGACAAATGTGGTTCCCTGAAAATTCAGTGATACATAGAGGGTGCTGGCCTTAGGAGCACCCAACCCTGGCTTGGAGGATCTGGGAAGGCTTTTGGAGGAAGTGAAATCTACCTTGGCTAAGAACTGACCAAGAGAAGAAGAGAAGGAAGAATCAGTCCTTGTGGAAAGAGTGATGTGCTCAAAAGTCTAGAAGTGAAAATGAACAAGGCTGGAATTCAGAGGGTAAAGGGGCCAGGGACAAGAGATGAACCTAGAGAGGTATGCAGGGGCCAGACTCAGCAGGGCCTTGAACACTCTGGGAAGGAGGTGATGATGGCCTAAATCTAAGCCGTGGCCTCGAGGATGCAGTGCCCAGCCTCACTCCACCTAGCCTCAATGGGGTCATACTGCTTCACACTCCCCAGGCATGCCGTGCACTCCCGGGCTGTCGGGCCTTTGCACAAGCTGTCCTTTCTCTCTTGAGTGCCTCCTCTGTCCCTTACGTGGACTTATGTAAGGCGCCTCTCAAAGGTCTCTTCCTGTACAAACCCTCCCTAACCCCAAGACTGAATCAATCAATCAGTCCCTACGCCATGCACTTACTTCTTGTAATAGAGACTTTGTGGAGAGGAGGGTGTCTGCCCAAATTAATATCTGACTTCTTGCAGAATCACCCCTCTCGGTGGCAGCCGAGCAGCCGTGTCCAGGCAATGTGACCATGTGCCTTGGGCATCGCTGACCAAGTCAGGAGAGGACGCTGGAACCAGGTCTCGCCTCTCTCACTCAGAAACCAAGGCTGAGACATGCTAGTAGGTCCTGCCATGTGCTTTATCTGGGGGGACATTTAAACTTGGGATCTATGGGCTAGGCGACCTCTCCATTGTATGGAGAAAGCTGAGCAAGAAAACCAGTGGCTTCCGTGGTTCTTGACAACTTTCCAGTACCTTGTTCTAGTCACTCACGATCCCTGACCAGATGTCATGGTGCTAGGGATGTGAAGACCCCTGTCTCCTTATGACTCATCCCAACTCTTGGTGTGAGCTAGTTGGAATGGGTTTCAGATACTGCCATCCTGAAAAAGGTACTCTTTTTAGGGCTCTATTGCCTCTATACAGAAATTACTCACTTCTGTCCTAAAATCAAAGTGGATACATATGTGACATGGGGGCTGTCACTTTCAGAGCCAATTCCAGATGAACACATGACCATAGAGTCACAGCACTCTTTATCTGGGCCTCACAAGCCACCACCCCAGTGTTCCTGGTGGCCCTGAAAAAATTAACTGGAACTGACACACAAGAGAAAAGTTATTGGCCATCAATGTTCTAGATTGGAGTCTACTTGAAGGAAGGTATTATGTCCTTTTCATGGTTGTAATCACAACATCCAGCTTTGTGCTGGACACAAGGGCAGTACGGAAGAATGCTTGTTGGAGGATAAATTATGACTATTATGGTTTAGACCTGTTGCTCATTCTTGACTCTTCATTCACCCAAGATATCTTTAGCTCAACAGAAGTACAGAAAGAACTCATTCTTTCCCATTTTGGAAACAAGGTCAGTAATTCAATTAGTAGTGAAGGAGCTGACATCTCGGTCTCAGGTACACACTTACAAGCCACCTCTGCCTATCTATAACTTGTTCTTTCTTCTCCCTGAGGATATGGACACATTTTAAAGTTACATCAATTTGGAGCAACGGTTCCTAAAATTCTTAGAGAATCAGAACATTCTCTTCTTTCCAAGTTAATTATATACATTCATAAAGTTTGACCTACTAACTTATTTGCTGATTATTTTGCCAGTGTATCCATAATGTATCACAAATTTATTTATGCAATCTGAAAAAAAAGTGATCTAAATACCATAGGATAATCTGTAAACTTCAGGAACTGTAAATCCTGAAAACTTCAGGAAGTGTAAACTACAGGAAACCTATAAATTTCAGGAACTCTGTCACAGCAAAGCCATGATTATTCCTTTCCCCACTTAATGTCTCTATCATATACAGACCTTCCCACAGGACATGATCCCCTCCTTGACCCACTGGAGCAAAAAGTCTTTCTGACTACCTTGATAGGCTACAATTAGTAAACAAACAAAAAGGGCATCTTAAAAATCAGTAACATACCAACTCCATTAACTGTTTGAGCTGACCTATCTCTTCAGGCAGCGATCCAAGTTTGTTGTTACTTGCAATTAAGACTTTGAGAGGCAGACCACACAGGCAGGCCGGCAGGGCGGACAGCTGATTCCGACTGCGAAGAAATAAAAGAACTCTGGTAAACAGGCAGGCTACTTCATACTGTTTGTGAACATGTTTTTTCAACAAACAAGGAGAAAGGAGTGACCGAAGAAAACATTTTGCAAATATAAAAAGTCTGATAAACTTTTATAAAAATGCAAATCCCAAGTGTATAAGAAAATAAAAAATAGTTTTTAAAAATGAGGGGCATAGGCAGTTGTGAGGGAAACAACTTTTTCCACAACAAGGGACCCTATCAAGCCCCCTGAAGATGCTGAGCTGTTGGCCAGCTCGAGAGCATATGGGCAACACAGGCTGTACCACCAATAGCAACAGGAAGCTGGTGCCAACTGTTCCCTTTCTGACAGTGTGAACGGGAGATGCAGCGAGGACGAAAGCAACCAGCCCAGCGCAAGGAAGCATCATCGCATCCATCTTAGTAGTGACGAGGAAGATCATTTTGCTGTAACTCACAAAACCCCCGGGCCCATTTCCAACATTTTGTTAAAGCAAGAGCTCTGTGGTTAAATTCTGCTTGGGTTATCTGTGAGAGAGCTAATTAAAAAAGAAAAAGGAAAAGTCGGCCTTCTGGCAAAAGTGAAGTTGGAGCCAAGAGGGGTTCAGTTTCACAGAGGAGCATGAAAAGTGTGAGCCCAGGCCTCACCTCTGCTCTTCACCAAAAGGTCTCTACTCAAATTAATGGTCCGCATTGAGAAGTCTTTAAATTTCCCATCATCAACGCTAGTTGACTGAGAGACAGGAAAATATAGGATAAATGAAATCTACGAATCACATCAAGGATATGTCGACCATTTATTTACCTTCCCCTCCACAAGGAGCCCTTTTCCTGCTACCAAGTAAGGAGACAGATGGTTTTCAGTTTCCCTTTCTTTCTCAGCCATTCTGCTGAGGGAGCCAACCACCAGGCAGTGAAACATCTACAAATCTGTATTTGGAACTTCTGCGTGTATTCGCACACACGTGTGAGACTTCGGAAGCTGTGGTACCATGTGTGTATTTGTGGGTGTGCATATGTCTTTGTGTGTGAGAGATGGGAACAGACAGCTAGACTGGAAACACACCAAAATGTTATCAGTAGCCATTTTTGGGGAGTAGGTACAGTGAGTGGATTTTATTTTCTTTATTATACTTTGCTGTATTTTCCAAAATTCCTACCAAGTGCTTTCATAATTTGGGAAGAAATATCATTATAAAAAGAAACTTCATTGGATACTGGCTACATGGGTGCTTCTAGGTGTGGAAATTCATGAAGATGTACACTTATAATCTGTGCACTTTTCCACACATATATTATAGTTCAGCAGAACCTTTTACTCCCTCACCCTACCATGTGAGGGGGTGGGTATCTGATTAGGAAAGGGTGTCTCTAACGGACGGGCTCAGAAAAAGCACGTGCTGTGCTGTCAAAATAGCCTTTCCAACCTGGGTCCCCCCTGTGACCACTGTGACCAGGGGCCTGATGCCAGGTAACCATACTCTAGCAAGAAAATGTAGAGCCATGTCTTCTCTCCCCTGCCCAGATGTGAAAAGAAAGCTCTTTGCAAAAAGGCACAGAAGGAAGAGAGCTTTCTCTCAGGGGGTCCAGCAGAGGGGGAAGGAGAGTGAGAGCCCTGAGGGTGGAGGTTGTATCCTGGTGCTGGAAGGACCAGCTGGCTCTTAGCTTCCCCTTGGTTAGGATAACAGGCTAGAATAGGGGCAATGGGCTCGCCCTGACACTCTCTCCTGATGTCTGGGGGCAGCGGAAGGGGAAGCCAGGGCTACCAGGCTGTCTTTCTGTGCTCTCACACCCCTCGCGCTGCCCCCTCTCAGCTGCAAGAGCCCAGGAGGGCTCCTCGGTCTTGAGGAGGGGGCCTTCCCAGTGCCCTGCCGGGACAGCTTTCTTCAAGCTCCAGAAAAGTTTCCTGAGATACTCCCTCTGCAAAGGAGAACCCAGTTTATTAAAAGGTGGCAAGTAAATAATTTGGCATTTGTGGTTTAAAATATTTCTTAATATACAATTTCACATAGTGAGGACTGCTAAATTAAAACGTTAATACGGTAATCCTCTTACTCTGGAGCCATATTTGAACTTCCTTTGGAAGAGAGGATAACGGGAACAAAGATAAGCATTTTTAGAAATTTCTACGCTATTTTCCACAGAATCAACAATTACAGTTGGAGATCTTTCCTGTGTTTCTCTGCTTGGAAGCTCAGATTTAAAGTATTCCCAGTCTCACTACCTCGATGCAGGCATCTAATCAGATTAGCAGGTATTGCATTGGATGAGCATCTATATACCATTTAAGCAATGCAGTGAAGCTTTTGCTTCCTTCAGACACGTGAGCATTTGAAATTACATGGGATTATTCCCACTGCAGTTCTTCCAGGATGGGTAACTAATTTAAAATAAAATTTAGTCTTGTAAAGCATTTGCGGTTTCTTTGACGGGGATGAATGCTTTTTATGATTAAAGCAGCTCATGGAATAGCCTATTTATTTATGCCCTACACATTCCTCTATCTATACTGTAGTTAATCACCTGTAGACAAATCGAGATGCCAGGACTAGTCATAATACAGCATGCCACAGGCCTGGGGCACATTTCTTCTATTTCATCCATCCGTTCCCTCAGCCTGTACTTTGTATATTTTATCACAGGATGTTCCTGTATTACTGGTAATTTCCCCCATAGAAAAAGGAAATACACACGCACGCAAAAACCCATTAGCTCTCCAGCAAATATTTATAAAGACGAGGAGAAACTGCACGCCCTTTAATCCTCTCCCCACTAAAGACCACAACAGCAGCCTAAGCTTTATGAAACTACTCATCTGGCAGCAACTTTTCTCAAGCAAGTTAAGTGCCTCAGGCCACAATCCACCACTCTGGCCCCCACTTGTCTCCTGCAGCCCTCTGCACTATGAACAGGCCCTTGAAGGAAACAATGGTTAAAAATAAGGCCGTACAGCATCTGATCAGGTAATGGCCAACATTTATTTTCAAATCCAGCCTGGGAGTCACATCTGAAAGCAATATATTTTAAAAAAAAAAGATTTTTTAAAACTCACTCATTACAAAAGAGTAAATTAACAGGGGGAAAAGGGCCACTTATTCAGAAGTAGAAATTACAGATTCGGTCATGGTGGCCTGAGCCTTCCTGCCAGCACAGAGCAGGGCCTCCCCAGTGTTTCTTGTCACTCTCCCTGCTCAGGCTGGGTGGAGGATGGCGCGAGGAGGAATGAGGCGGGGCCGGAAGGCAGCGGGCTCTTACCAGCCTGTGATTACTGCTAACGCTTTGTCTTCCTTCCTTCTCGGCTGAATGACTTCCTACTAGAGTGACTGGTCTGTTTCCTCATTTCAGGGTGAAACAAGGCAGCTCATCATAACCTCAACAGTTCTGATAGCCTAAGTTTGCAGGTTAAATTCCTCTTCAAGTAGCGCTACCCTCGCTTAACAAAAGTCCTAAATTAAGGAATTCACAAACCAAGTCACTTCTGCATGGTTTCACTTTTATTTATTTTTTTTTAAATAAATTATTTTATTTATTTATTTTTGGCTGCGTTGGGTCTTGGTTGCTGCACGGGGGCTTTCTCTAATTGCGGCGAGCGGGGGCTACTCTTCGTTGCAGTGCGCGGGCTTCTCACTGCGGTGGCTTCTCTTGTTGCGGAGCATGGGCTCTAGGCGTGTGGGCTTCAGTAGTTGTGGCCCACGGGCTCCAGTGCACAGGCTCAGTAGTTGTGGCACACAAGCTTCGTTGCTCCGCGGCACGTGGGATCTTCCCGGACCAGGGCTCAAACCCATGTCCCCTGCGTTGGCAGGCAGATTCTTAACCACTGCGCCACCAGGGAAGCCCCGGTTTCACTTTTAGAGAGTGTTATTTTAATGTATTTTGACTATGGCCTTCCTTAATTATTAATATCCATGCTTTCAGATTTAATTTTGGTATTTAACGCTATTTATTACTGGTTTACCAGAAAGTTATTTTCCTTAATGTATGTGATGATAAAAACATGCTATAGTCTTACATGTGCTTTTATTATCAGACAGCATATGTGTTTCTTATTCTACTGGAATAGATCCTTTTTGTAAGTGAATGGGTTCACTTAATAATGAAACATGGAACTCACTTAAAATAATTTATAGAAAGATTTCTGTAACAGACTCACCTACTCAGTTGGTACAGAGATCACCAACTGTGGAATTAGAAAACCTGGGTTCAAGTCTCATCTCTGCCATAATCGACCATAGAACTTTAGGTAAGTCACCTACCTCTCTGACTCTGTCAGCCATAAAACATAGATAATAAGACCCACCTAACATGATACATGAGGTTATGGATGTAAAAGTGCTTGGCCCAACACTAAATCCATATGTTAAGGTTAAACCGTTCCCAACACCACTGACGTAGCAAAGCAATGGGAGGTGACCAAAAAGAGCTTAATTAGGTTTTAGTTATTGATTTTATTTCCTAACTGCTAACATTTCAACCACTCTTAAACTAAGGTTGCATGTTCAATTTGTCAAAAACATAAGCCAATTAAAGATGACGATTCGGAGGCATGTTGGGGAAAACCAGGCTGGTTTCAGGCCAAAACAAACCAAGTAACTCTTTCCAATCTGGAGAACCAGAACTAGAACAAAAAAAAAAAAAAAAAAAAAAAATCACACCAATGACCTTTTCTCTCCCATCTTCTCTAATTCCAAGATCCTACCATTACTCTGGGAAAACATGAATACCCAGGGGTCATCATCTCTATTTACTAGTTTTCAAAAACGAACAGAAATAATAATGTGAAATCACAAACCTATTAAGAAAATGTCACAGTGTGCCTCTAAAGGGCACAGAGGAAGCAGGGCAGGGTTCATGGTATCGGCACCTCAGGCTCACCCTGTATAGGTCTCAGGCAAGGAAGGGAATAAACAAGCACAGGGGAGTTATTGTATATTGCTTGTTTGAATCACACTGTCTGTGCTTTTGGCACATGAACCACAGTGAAGAGCGGTTATTTTACT